GAATCAAATCAGCTGCCATCCCTGGGAGGGACCTCCTTGGACATCCAGCCCAGGTGAGCATTCAGGTGACTACAGCTCCAGCTGACATCTGAGTGACTGTGTGAGAGGCAATAATGCCCATAAAGTGCTTATGATGGAGTCTAGCTTATCACAGCAAGAGCTTAATACTGTCACTATTCTTGCTCTCAGCCAGGTCCTGGCTCCAGAAGACTCTCATTCCACATCCCAAACTAGGTGTCCCTATGAGACACTGCAGGCAGCTCAGAGGAGTCCTACATGCTGAGGAAACTAGAAGCTGGGTTCCAGCTCTGACCCTGACCTGCTGGAGGATCCTGGGAAAGCCCTTCACCCACAACCACTCAGCACTCCCATCTGGATCCTACAGATTTAACACTCCCTCTGACTGTGTGTTTGTGAACCAGTTCCACGGGCTCTCTGAGCCTCAGTTTCTATAACTGTAAAACAGGAATAATTCTCCTCGTCTACCATGGCTAATGTGAACATTCAGGAAGATGATAACTCTAACCTGCCAGCCCAGAGCCAGGGTGCTCAGTAATATGCACTGCCCAGCCCTCATCCTTGTCCTCTCTCACCAGGACCACTGATTCAGATTCCTTCCAGGCCTGGCCTCCAGTCTTGCTCTAAAATGGGTCTTTCCAACGTGACATCTGGCCCTGTCCTTCCTCTACTCAAAAGTCCTGTGTGGTTCCTCACCACCCTGGGAGAAAATCCAGCTCCCTAACTTGGTGTTTGGAGGCCCATCTTGTCACATCACCCCAATGCTCACAGCTCTATGGAGCAGGGCCTTTGTGCAAGCTCTGCCTGGAGTACATCCTTCTCTTAGTAGCAAGCTTCCCCTCCCCACCCAGGAAGCCTTCCCTGATGGCCCCTAGCTGGGTTAGGAGTCCCCCTTCAGGGTTCTCATGTCTCACTACAACCTTCATTCCTCTGGGTCAGGTCTACTTCCCCTTCAGCCTAGGAGGCCCACAGAGCAGGACCTGGGCCTGGGCCTCATTCCCTTCCCAGCACTGCCCAACACAGGCCTGGCACTGAGCAAGGGCTCAGCAAATGCTGGAATGAAGAAATGCACAAAAGGAAGACTTCTGAAGCTGGCAGCTCTCAGGCTCTGACCAGAGCCCCCAGGGAACACCACATAAAGATCCCCACCCGTGGCCTGGGGAAGGCAGAAAACCCATTCAGCTGGACCAGGCAACCAGACCTCCCAGAATCTCACTAGCCTCAACCAAACTACACAGCTCTGTTCCTGGAATCACAAGAACATCTTTGTCAAGTGCCTGCTAGAGGCCAGCTCACCATCTGCCTTCCCCCAAGTTCCTCCCTAAGTTCAAGGTCTCCTGTTTCCACCCAATCCACACATGATTCCTGACAGAAATCTGATCCCAAACCACCACCCCTGCCACCCCCACCCCCACCCCTGCTCCAAAGCAGGATTCTCTTACTCCTGAGGGCTGGGACTAGATAAAACTGTGAACTTGGCATAAAAGTGGACTGGTTGCTGATTTTTCAAATATAGAGGGAGATACTGGTTCTCAGAGGTGACAAGGCTTGGGAAGATGGAAGATCAAGAGAGGTCTAGAGGCCTCCCAGATATTTCCTTCACCCCAATATCCCTATAGTTGGTCCCCAAGTGTCATTGGTGAAACTCCACAAACATCTCCCTGCAATCTCCACACCTCATGACCATGCCCCAGCCCCTGCCTAATTCAGAACTCACTCTCTCCTATAGATCAGCATCCCCACCCAGCCTGAGAGCCATGCCCAAAATCTTTCAGTGGCTCCCTAGCAATCCCAAGAGAAAGGTCAAGCTGCTCAGCGTGACATTCAAGGCCCATCTTCCCCAGCTCTGGGCTCCCTCCTCAAGTCCCAGTCTACAGTGCAGCCAGACCGGACAAACCCAGAAGGATCCTGAGCGATACCTGCCTCACTCATGTCTGCATAGAGGCTGTTCCCATTTCCAACTCTGTAAACTCCTATGTGTACTTCAGAACCCTGTTTCAGAGGCTCCTCCTCTATGATTTCCAGCAGATTCTTCACCTTCCCCTAAGCACATTCAGCCTCAGTGGCAGACTGGGGGCCTCATGTCATACCTAGCCCCACCATTGCCAACACGTTTGGGAATCTTCAGGGTCAGAGAGTGATTTCCGCCCCCCACCACCACACTCATGCTGTTCTCATCCTACAATCTGACAGAAACGGCTCCCATACTGGGTCAGGCAGACATGCTTACCCCAAGACATATGCCTTCATCCATACCCCACAAAGCAGACAAAGAGATCTTCTAAAACATAAATCATGCCCTTCCTCTTACTTATCAAAACCTTTCTGAAGCTCCCCAGTGTCCCCAAGATTAAAAAAATAACAAGCTCCACAGTCTACCAACCAAAGAAAGTCCTACATGACTCAGGCTCTGCTATCCCTCTGGCCTTTGCCCAGGGTCTCCTACCTCTCCTTGTAGGCTACTGCCAAACCTACTGCCCTGTGAGGACTTCCTGGAATTTTCTAGACACTGTCTTTGGACTTCTCTTCTCCCTCCATATTGCCTTCAGGATACAGTTCAAAATCACAAAGTCCTATACCCTCTAGTTTCTCCCAACCCCCCAAACTCTGGTTTGATGGTTACTATCTGACACTCTGTTTCAGTATATCCAATTTCCAGTTGCTCAAAAGCATCACACTCTCCCACTTCCAGGCCTTTGCAGGCTGCTTTCCTTGCCAAGAATGTTTTTTTCCACTTCTTACCCATGTCACTGGTCTCAGCCAATCCCCAGGTTAAGTCAGATGTCTTCTCTGGGCTTCCCACTCCCCAGGAATGGCTTTGCCCCGCCCCCTATTCTCTGGGAGCCCATAAGAGTAGGGTTGAGGTCTTTGTACAGACCTTTCCCTGTTTCTGGAATGCTCTTCTTCCCATTCCTGGCTGATTCCCATTGGTCACTTAGATCTCAGCTTTGACATCTCCTCCAGGAAGCCTCTCTGCTCTCCCAGGCCCTAGGGTTTCACCATCACAGACCACTCTGAGCTGTATTTGTCTCCCCCACTAGATTCCAAGCCCTAAGTCACTCCTGTTATGTTCTGGTGGCAAATATGTGTAGCACACGAATGACTAAAAACAAATGCGTTTATTGAAATAATTTAAACATAATAATAATAATCCTAATATCATTTATTAAACATTTATTATGAATCAGGCATCGGGTATGTTAAATACCTGGTTTCATTTAATTCTAACATCCCTAGGAGGTGACTACAATTGTCATCCCCATTTGGGGTAAGAGAAGTCAAACCTCAGAGAAAGTAAGTCAACTGCTCAAAGTCACAGACCATACATAGCCTAAATTCTAAACCAAGTGACTGAACCGAGAGCCTTAGTGTTCAGCAATTACTCAGAATACCCCTCACTGATGCTGTTGGTTGGTCTGCACACACCTCTCCCACCAGACTTTCAGACCTCCAGAATGGGGCTCAGATTACAACACTGGGTGTCCTGCATTTTAGAGTAACCGCTCTGGACCAGATCAGGGCTCTGGCAATGTGCTGGGTGGATGGATGCACAAATGAATGGACTAGCGAATGAGTGAGTGACCCACGCGGCCCCACTCACCCTCGATAAGCCATTCGCAGTTGCCATTGACGCTGTAGTTGCCCGCACCATCCGTCACGAAGCCTGGTGCCTCCCGTAGCACCTGCCGCTGCCCCTTGCAGTCCCCGGCCAGGGCCCCAGGGGACAGCGGCCCCAGCATAGCCAAGGCCAGGGCCAGTACCGCTCCCAGAGCCTGGCCCAAGGCCATCGCCGCCTGCGGCACTGACTCCTTGGAGACGGGAAGGGCCTTAAAGACCCGGAGAGGACCCTCTACTGGGGTGAGTCCCTGCAAATGCGACCTCTATAGGGGTAGCATGGCCTTGTAGACCGGGGAGGTCCAGCAGACGCAGTCCCCGCGAAGGGAACAGCCGCTGTTGATGGGCTCTGGAAGCCGAGGAGCGGGCTCTATCCACCCATGGAAGGCCCTGTAAACAGGGTCGTTTTGGATGGGGTCGACGCTTAGGGACCGAAAGGGTCCCTGATAGACACGGGCCCCCATAGGGGGGCCGACCCCATAAATAGTGTCCAGGGGTTAAACTCAGGCCGCTGCAGGCCAAAACAGACCTTATAGACGGGAAGGTCCCCAGGGTCCAAGGGTTCTAAGGCCCGGCAGGGGCTCCATAAAGGGTGCAGGCCCGGACCGGCCAGGTAGGTAGGTCCCAGGGAGACCCCTCCAGGTGGGGGCGGGGCGCGAGCGGGTGCCAGGGGCGGAGCCTGTCTTCACGGCTCGGGCCCGGATTCCATAGGCGCACTCACTTAGCTCTCACCCTCCGGCGCCTCCCTCCCGAGCCGGATAGGCCAGACCAGAGAGACTAGGGGATGGTCGGGCCAGAGAGGCCTGGGGAAGACCCGCCGGGAGGGCGTGGGGGCGGGAACCAAGAGGCCGCTCTGGGAGAACCCGCCAAGAGAAGGCGAGAAGTTGAAGACCGGCAGGTCAGAGCGGCCCTGGGAGGACTACGGAGGATCCAACCCCACCCCTCCGCAAAGAGAGACTTCCGGAGATCTCCCCGCCCATCTGTACTCGACCGCATGCGCATCAGCGACCTCTGTGGCTGGCGGAGCAAGAGAATCACGCATGCGCAGCGGCAAGAGCATACCGCAAAATCTGGGAGAGCAAAGCAGTAGCTAAGCAAAGCTTTTGCCACTGGAGGGCGCCTCTACATCCGATTGGAAAAGAAGGTAAAAATAAAGGAGCAGTGCAATACAGGGCTCTGCCAGATGATTGAAATCTTCTGTGCTCCCAGATTCCGAGTCAACACGAAGTTCAGATTATGTAACCCCTTGCCTCGGGTCCCAAAATGTCATTTCACAGACAGACACACTGTAATCCCGAACCTGAAACGGTTCTTGCTCAACCCTGCAGCTCAGCACCATCAAGATGTAAAAGAAGCCACATTATAAATAAAAACGAATCCTCTTTTATTTTGGCAAGGGGCGGGGGAGTCTTTGTGCAAGGGACCGAGGGAAGGCCCCCGGATGCTGATAGGGGCAGAGAGCACGGGTCCGAAGTCACAGGTCCGAGGGAGGGTTTGAGTCAGACCAGCTTCACAATATCCGTCCTCGGGGTCGCAGAATCCTGGAGTCACGAGCTGGGTCCCGGCGGTCGTCGTGGGTGTGCCGGAGTCCGACGGGGTCAGAGGTCTCGGAGGGGATCGGGGGGTCGAAGATCACGGAACAGCGGGAGCCCAGAATCCGGCGCCGTTCGGGGCAGGGGCTGAGGGAGGGGACGGGGAGAGCGGCTCCCGCGGGACCGTTTGGCACAAAGGGGAAGGGGGGGGGGGGACGCAGCGCACCCAACCTGGGTACGCGGGGTGGGGAGAGTTGGGAGGGTTGGCCAAGCCCTGGGGAAGGGACAGAGCTGGGGGTCCGGAGCCCAGCCGGGGCCCGGTGCGTGGCCCATGGGACAGGGGCGACCAGGGGTGCTCAGACCGGGGGTACGGAGCCCCCGGCCGTGTGCATGCTGAAGTATTCGGTGAAGCCGGTGTGTGGCGCCGCCGTCTGGGGCACGAGCGGCTGGTAAGGCGGCGTCGGGCCATCCCAGCCCGGGTCGGCCGCCTTGGGGAACCGAGCGGGAGGGGGCGGGGAGGTTGCGCCCGGCTCGGCCGTGGTCACCACACGGCCCCTCGGGGCCACTGCCGCCGCTACCGCTGTCTCCTCCACCTGCTTCCCGGCCTGGGAGGGGGGTCAGGGTCAGAGGCCGTTCGGAACCCTCAGGGGGCAGATACGGCCCCGAAGGCCCGTCCCCCTCCCCAAGAAGACCCAACTACCCCAAGGATGGACGCACGTGTCCGTCAGGGAAGGAGTGGGTAGCGGGACGCCTGGGCAGCGGAGCCAGGTACTCAAGGGGAGGCGATGGGGTGCGCCGGACAAACTCCGGCTGCAGCCTGGGAGCTGGGGGAGAGCCTCGGAAGGCGGGCGGTGGGGGCACCGCGCGTGGCGTTTGAGGGGGCGTGCGCAGTAGCGCCAGGACCCAGTCCGGAAGGGTAGGCGCGGGCGCCAGGGGACGGTGACGGCGCGGCGTTGGGGCGCGGGGCGTGCGAAAGGCAGGGGGCGGGCTCAGGCGCCCCAACACTGGGGGCGGGGGCGGCGGCGGGGCTGGGAGAGGGGTCAGGTACTCCAGGGGCGGCGCCAGCAGCTCCTCGGGCGCCGGGGCCGCAGGGCTTACGGAGGAGGTGGGCGGGGGGATGGAGAAGAGCTCCGTGAAGTTGGGCACCGAGTCGCTAATGAAGGTCACATTCCCATAGACGTGCTGCGGAAAGGCCTTGTCTGTGGATTGGCTCCCTCCGGTGCCCGGAGCCCCTGCGGAGGCGATCTGCGATGTGCGTACGTGGTACGGGAAGTTCTTGTTGGCCGCAGATGGGCGAGTCATGATCTGGGGCAAGAGGCAAGACAGGTTGGAGATCACTATCCAGGGCCCGGGATGTTTCCATAAACTTGGGGGTTCTAAAGATTTCCCTCCAGGTGACATCCCCCACACTTTCCTGCGAATGTCCAGACTGGGTTAGCTGTCACCTCTGGGCTCCCATGGTGCCCGGGATTCTGACCTTTCCCCTCTACACATCTTTTATTACTCTGCTTGTGCTTCCTTCTTCAGAGCCCTGGGCTGTCACTTGTTAAGGTTCTTCTCCTGTGTGGTCCAAGTTGATAGCTTCTAGCCACATGTGGCTTCATCAAAATAAAGTTTAGCTTTTCATTCACAGGGCACTACTCTACCCATATTCAAGTGCTTATAAGCCACCATAATGGAGAGCACAGATAACAGAATATTTCCATAAAACCCAAAGTTCAATTAAATAGCAGTTAATGCACTCTAGAATGTTAGCTCCATGGAGGCTGGAACTTGATTCTTCTGTTCCCTATTGAATCCCCAGAACCTTCCAGAGCAGTGCCTGGATGTCTCCCTATAGTCGGGCAGACCATGAAGCCAGGGACTGCACCACACCCCAGAAACACAGCACAACCCTTCTTAAGTTGTGCTGAATGCGTTAGCAAGGAGCTGAAGCCAGTGAGCAGTTGGATGCCTGCTGAGCATGTTAGGAAGGAAGCTGGCTGAAGGTGAAATGATAGTAAGGGCACTGCATCTGGCAGTCTGAGCCTGCTTTACATCTCGGCTCCATCGCTCTCTGTATGGGATCTGGGACACAATGATTAAATTCTGAGCCTCACCAGCCAAGAGGGATTATAGTGCCTATTTGGAAAGATGAGAGGGTGGAAATGAAAACCACTGGTGCGGAGCCTGGCACATGGTGGGTTCTCAGAATTTCTTTTTCTTTCTTTCTTTTTTTTTTTTTTGCGGTATTAGAGATCCAAATCCAGGGCCTTGGTGCATGCTGGGCAAACACTCTACTACTGAACTATGTCCCCAACCCTCCTCCTTCCTCTTGTTTTGTTTTGAGACAAGGCCTGGATAAATTACCCAAGTTGGCCTTGAACTTACAATCTTCCTATCTCAGCCTCCAGAGCAGCTGGATTAATGGACATGTACCACTGCTTCTGGCATCATTTCTTCTCTTTATCTCGTTCTGAATTCCTACAGAGTTTCAAGCTGAGTACTTCCCTAAACACATATTGTGAGTCCCTCAGGAACTGGGGCCCTCAGTGATGCCTATTTTCCTTTTGGGATTCCCCTATGTGAGACTTTGTGGTCTGCCAGAGGACAGGGTTTGAAGTGCCTGCCCGGCTGTTAAAGGCCATGGAGCCCTGGAGGTCATCTTCCTTCTCTGTGCCTTAACTTTCCCTCTCTGTATAGTGGGTACAATGACTGTTATCTGTCCTCTCCTGAGGTTGCTCTGACAATTGGAGAGTAGGAATAAATGAACATGGATGTCCCTGGCAAGAAATAGGCTGCTTCAAGACAGGTGTCCAGCGAACAGTTGATGGATGGATAAATGAATGAATATGAGAACCCTTGTCAAGAAGGTCAGACAGGATGTGAACCAAGACAAAAAATAGATGTGGTGCTGGGAACCCCTGATGCCTCTGTCTAAACAACACCATTCAGATCTAGGGTCCCAGAAGCCCCATCCTGTCCCTTCCCAGCTACTTCTTCCTGAACAATGGCTTGTGATGAGAATTCGTGGGGGAAGGATGGGGTAGAGATTAGGGGTTTCAGAAGGGCAGAAGGGACACAAAGGGAAATGTGAGAGACCAGGGACAGGATCAGGAATGAAAATAAAGATGTGGGGGAGAAGGCAGGACACGAGACGGCAGAGAGGAATAGTAGAAGAGGGTAGACTCTAGAGGACACAGTAGACTACCCAGCAGGCTATCAATTGAGGAGTCTCCTCAATGACTAAAGGGCAAATGACTAAAGGGGAGATGGGTCCAGAGCTCAGACACTCAGGCAGATCAGGGGTGGGAGCCTCACCCATCCTCTGCCCTTCAGTTTCCCATCCCTCCCTGGAGGCCCATCCTTACCAGGAAGACTCCATGGGCATACAGGTGGATTCCCAACTGGATGCCATTGACAATCTTCTCCCGGGCCCACTTGGGGATCCCAAAATTGGCGATTAGGGCCATGACGGGAACTGCAAAGAACCTGTACAAGAGGTATTGGGTGCGTAGAGATTGCCCCTGCCCTCCCGCCATCCCTTAGCCCCACCCCCACCACACCATGCATATACACAGGCCCTAGGCAGGTCCCAAACTAAAGGGCAGCCAGTGTGGCCCTCAAAAGCCAGAGATTGCAAAGGAACAGAAATGCTACTAATCTGGAAATCCTACGGGACAAAGACTAGGTTGAATTTAACTTGGTTCCACCCACCCAAATTCCTGGCATCTGATTGGAAATCAGTAAATGTTTGATGATTGAATTAACAAACAAGAATTTACTGCATGTCAGGCCTGTTTCTAAGTGTTCTACATATAAAACTTTTAACTCTCACAGTGAGTTTATGAAGTAGGTACAGTTTCCATCCCCATTAACAGATGAGGAAGCTAAGGCAAAAAGAAGTTAATGAATTTATCTGAGGTCACACAGTTAATAAGCTTTAGAGCTGGGATCCAAACCCAAGCTACTTGGCTCAGAGTTTGCCTATTTTACTATTGTATTGTTGAATGGTAATGAGTTTTTATTGAGCATTTACTGTGTGCCAGATACTAAGTCTGCAATATTACCCAATGCATGCTCGAGATAATTATTTCCAAGATATTACTGAAGACCTTGTTTTGTGGGTAAACAATCTAAGGCACTGTCTGTGAAAGTAATTTTTTTTTTCAGTGCTGGGGATTGAACCCAGGGCCTATGTATGCTAGCACTCTACCACTAAGCTATATCACCAATCCAAAAGTAAGTTCTTGTTTTTATTTTTTTTTTTTAACCTTTGCTGAGTTTTACTTTGGGAGACTAATTTTTTCAAGGTTATAAAGTGAAAAAGTGACAGATTTCAGGTGACAACTACCTAACTTGAAAGCTCTTCTTCCTTACTGAGGAGGGTCTGAGTTAGGTGGGGGAGAGAAACAATGGAGGACACCACTTCTCACCAGAGGGTGTAGGCAGCAAAGAAGGGCACGTAAAAGGGCTGCTTCTCAGGGAAATGTCGCAGGGAGATGAGCACAGCATAGCAGAACCACACGTAGGCTGCCACCTGCAGCCCGATGAGTCCATAGCCCGCCGGAGACTCATAGGTGTACAGTACCTGACCTGGGTCAAAGAACTGGGTCCCAAGGAGAGGGTTCATCATAGCCCTGGCCTCCTGCCCTGGACCCCACCCCTGGGCACCCAGGGAGCAGAGGTACCAGGTCGGGACAGAAGCAGCAGGGGAGTCAGGGATGGAGAGAGAAGAATATAGATAGAGAGGATGAAACAAATGAGAAGACATGCATTAGCTACCCTGTGCCCAACATGGGGCCAAACACCTACCATGAATGAGCTTTCCCATTAGCATCAACTCAATGAGAGAGGTCTTACTGTCACCCCTTTTCACAGAGGAGGAAAGTAAGGCTAGGAGGGAAGCCTTTAGGGAGGATAAGATCCTCCACTTTTTAGAGAAGGTAATGGGTCAAAGAGGGGGTCATCACCCAAGGTCAGCCAGCTAAGGCTACAGGAGTGGAATCCAGGTCTGTATAACTCCTGAAATCACAGACAGGGAGCTTAAAGTGACAGACAGTAAGAAACCGAGGGAGGAGGAAGAAACCTACTCAGATGGTGAAGAGGGAAAGAATCACTTAGAGACAAATGGGAAGGTGGAAAATTGCAGAGTAGGAGAGAGAGCGAGCCGGGAGGATGCTGTGTGGGGAAGGGCAACATACAGGTCAAGGAGGAGGAGGCCACCGAAAGCACGGGGGCAGGGGGTGAGGCTTGGCAGGGCCATGGGGACTCACTTCAGCCTCGTAGATAAGCAGCACCACGTGGGTGAGGGTGTACAGGGTCATGTACACAGACAACTTCACAGAGCCCGAATGACTGATGCGGCCCCTGGCAGCAGGCCATGAAGAAAGACAGCAGGAGTGGGGGCTGTCAGGGAGAGGGGGAAGCCACCCCACGCCCACCCTCCCTGCCCTACTCCCCAGCCCAGCCACCCCACAAGCACTCCCTGCCCGGGCACCGTGTCACCGTGAATCCCTTCCCCAGAAGGATGAGCATGAGCAGGAAGATGAGGAAGCTGGAGGAGAAGAGCAGCTTGGCTGGGGAGGGAGGAGAGGGTGGCTCAGAGACTAGCTCAGAGAAGATGCCAGACCTGAGCCAAGGGCTCCACCCTCCCATGGCCCCACTCCATTCTTACCCAGGATCTTCACACTCTCATTGCCAATGCCATCAGTAGCATACTGGCCCCAGTAGATGCAGAAAAACAGGAGGCTTAGGACTGGAAAAGGATGGGCAGAGAGAGGAAAGGACAAAAACTGGCTTTGGAGCATCACTGTCCTCTCGCATTGTGATCCATATGGTTTGAGTCCTCCTCCACCCCCATCAAGACTCTAGACCACCCACCCGCACCTACCTGCTAGGATACCCAGGAGTCCACAGCCTCCAGCCCCTCTCCATCAGACCCAGGAGTCTTGCCTTAGATCCCCATGTCTGGGCCACAAGTCCCTCCTCCCCCAGGACTCAAAAGCTGGGACACTAAACCTCACCCTCCACTCCTGCTGCGGCCATGAACATTTTATAAGTTGTGTGAAGCAACTGACGACCTTTCAACAAATCTGGGAAGCAGGCAGGGAAAGGCTGTTCAAAGAGGGGAGGGTAGCCCATTTCCCCAACCCTGCTCCCCCATATCTCCTCTCCCACCTCTATGTGCTGGACTCACATCCAAAGTAACAGGAGATGAAGAAGATGAGGATGAAGATGAGGAGGAAGGTCACATCTGTCTCCAAGATCCCTAGGATTTGGTGGAAGGAGAACATGGTTCCCAGAGTGGGTATCTCTCAGCAGGTACCCACTCTGGGCTTCCATAGAGATTCTTTTGTTAAAAATATTTGTTTATTTGATTAGTTTGTTTTTGTTTTTTGGTATGGGGGATTGAATTTAGGAGCACTCAACCACTGAGCTACATCCCCAGCCCTTTTTAAAAAATATTTTATTTAGGGACAGGGTCTCGCTAAGTTGCTTAGAGCCTCTCCGAATTGCTCAGGCTGGCTTTGAACTCTCGATGCTCCTGCCTCAGCCTCCTGAGCCACAGGGATTACAGGCATGCGCCACAGAGCCCAGCTACTTGGTTAATTTTTGTGGTACTAGGGATTGAACCTGTGGGTGCTCTACCACTAAGCCACACCCCCCAGCCCTTTTTGTTTTATTTTGAGACAGGGTCTTGCTAATTTGTGATTCTCCTGCCTCAACCTCCTGAGTTCCTGGGATTACAGGTGTGTACCAATGCACCTGGCTCCCACAGAGACCCTGAATCCTGTTTTCCAGATATCTGCTCACCAAACTCATCAGCAGAGAAGTGCCTTGTCCAGAATGACTTGCCATTGGTGAGGACCATCTCATATTCCAGCTGCAGCCCATCTCCCTGTAGGGAAAGTGGAGGCCTAAGGGGGGTCCTGGGCAGGTAGGGAGTCAGCAGGAAGATAAAGAGGAGAAGGCCCAGGTGGCCATCCCAGCCCCATACCCCACACTTGCTGAGTGCGATGTACCACCACCTTTCACGCACAGAGCGGAAGCTTCGGCCACTGGAGCAACTCAGGTAGCGGGTTCCCTCTTCTGACACCACCTGGGGAGGAGCCAGGAAAAGGCTGAAGCCTGTCCTCAATGTCCCCAGGCCTCAACTTTCAGCACCTGCCCACTCCCCCGCACCTGACAGCCTGACCAGGCATACTGGGTGGTGAGATTGATGACCTGGTTGTTCTCCGGCCTGATCACTGATTCCTTGGCCAGGCAGTCCTGAGGAAGGCAGAGATAGGGTCACTCTGTGGTCACCCACAACCTCTGCCTCCTCCCCCTGTACCCTCCTCACAGCCCTCACCTTGTCTCCTGCCTTGTACACTGCTGGCCACTGGGATGGATCATCGAAATAGAGGAGGATGTTCTGACAGCACTTGGCCTGCAAACCCAGAGATTTGGGGGTTTGGGGAAGTGCATGGAGCTATGGTAGCCCTTACCATGGGAGGCCTAGGGATTATCCAGCCTCAGTTTGGCAAGTAGTTGGGGGAGACTCACCTCAGGGTAGCGGAAGCGGAAGTCCAGTCGACCATAATCCGAGAGGAAACAAAATCTTGTCAAGAATACCCAGTCCTGGCAATGGGACCCAATCAGACTCTCTTCTGAGTCCATCCAGAACGCTCCTCCATTTAATAGACCCGCAACTTGTCTTCCCTACCCAGATAACTGGCTTCCCAATACCACAAGGAGACCAAGTCACCTCCAAAATTCTTTTCACTTCCCTTTTGCATGGGTCCAGGATTCCTGCTGCCCCGGTTTTCTACCTCAGATGACCCCCAAGTTTCCTCCCCTTGAGCACTCCTTCCTGCATTTCCCATGGAGGGCCCTGGAGGGCCAGGTGCCCATAGAAGCCACTTCTGTCCAGGCCACCGTCCCATCAGCATTACCCCAGTTAGCCGAGCTCGCGCGCGCGGACACACACACACACACACACACACACACACCCCGGTGGTTCCAAAGACCATCCATGCTTCCACCCCGCCCCTCCTGGCCCTGAGCGCGGGTGCGGTGAACTCGGGCTCTCTGCAGGAGTGAAGAGTGCTGTCCCTTCAGCACCACCTCGGTGCGCCCCCAACTCCCACCAACTCCGCCTTTCCCAACCCTGCCACCACCCCACCCAGCTGACCTCAACGTCCCTAATACAACCCCCAAGTCTGGCCTCAAGCCCAGGGTCCCCGCGGCCTCGACCCTGCCCAATCCTCCATCCGCCCGGCTCCAGTCCCAGGTCCACCCGGGAGGGGCAGCAGGGGGCGGGGCGCACCCTCTCCTCTCAGGTCCCCGGGTCTCAGCCGCCGATGAGGAGGGCTCGGCGTGCTCACCTCCTTGGAGCTGAGGTTGCCCCGCACATACTTGGCCCGGGCGCGGGGGGGCAGTGGCAGCAGTAAGAGCAGCAACGGCGGGAGCAGGCGGCGCAGCGCGGGCGCTCGCGGGGGCTCCATTCCGCCGGCTCTGGCCCGGGCTCCGCTTCGGCTCCCGCTCCGGCCGGGAGACGGAGGCGAGAGCGCGCGGGCCGGCCAGAGCGCGCCCCCGATTAAAGGGGCCGCCGGGCGCAGCGGTCCCCGCCCCCTCCTACCCAAGCTGGAGCCTACTCTTCCCACTAGAAAGGGGAAGCCCCCTTGCCCATCTTTTGGCACTCCGCCCCAGCTCCAGTTCTCTACTCTGGGGGTCTCGCGGAAATCTTTGGTTCTTTGAGTCCTCAACTGAACTCAAATTCCTCTAGCTGTCCTCTTCCAGACTCCAGCATGGCACCAACCTCCCAGATGCGAGATCTATCCTGACCTCCCTACCCTTTACTCCCCAAAAGATTCTTCGATTAACCATCCCTCCAACCATGCAGCCCCCCTTAGCTCCATACCCATCTCTGGGTTGCCAGGGCCCTAGTTCCAATGCACCATGTGAAGTTTCTGCAGAGGCACAGAGGACAAGCTATTTGTTCTGGGTCACACAACATGGAGGTGGAGGTGGCAGAGCACTATACCACAACCATCAGACCTGAATGCCTGACCCTATCCTATCACTTCTACTAAAGTGTGAAACATGGTTGCTGTGAAACAGAAGTGTGAGATATCCAGGAGCAGAGACTCAAGTTGTCTGGGTTCAAATTCCAGCATTGCCACTTACCCACCATCACCTTAGCCAAGTCATTCAGCCCTGTGATCACCCAGTCTCTTTGGCCTGTGGTTTCACAATGAGCAATGCAAAAGCCTAGAAAGGCTATTCGGGGTAGAATCAATGCACTTTGGCTTGTTTTCTCTTACCAGACTCCAACAAAATTCCTAGTTTTGTCCCCGCCTCTCCACTAGAGAAAATTTCCTGCTGCTCAAAATACTATTTTTTAGCCAGACACAGTTGCACATACCTGTGGTTCCAGCAACTCAGGAGGTTGAGGCAGGAAGATTCCAAATTTGAGGCCAGCCTCATCAACTTAGCAAGACCCTGTCTCAAAAATATAAACGTCTGGGGATACAGCTCAATGGTAGAGCACCCCCGGGTTCAATTACCAATACCTAAAAACAAACAAACAAACAAAAAAAAAACATCTTTTTACACTTTCTAAGCCAAAAGGCCAAGTGGAAAACCAGTGCATGAAATATCTTCAATGTAGAACATGAGGTCTTTGCTCTATGGCCAGTTGTTGCCAGGAGAAATCTGCTGCCACATCCTTTTTGTTTTCTGTGTGTGTGTGTGTGTGTGTTTTCAGTAGTGGGGATTGAACACTGAGGGATGCTACAATCCCAGCTTTTTTTTTTTTTTTTTTTTTTTTAGTTTTTCTTTTGAAATAGGGTCTCCCTCAGTGGTTGCAAGGCTAAAACTTGTGATCCTTCTGACTAAGCCTCCTGAGTGGTTTTTTGGTACCGGGGATTGAACCCAGGGGCACTTAACCACTGAGCTACATCCCCAGCCGTTTTCTGTATTTTATTTAAAAACAGGGTCTCACTTAGTTGCTTGGGTGGCAGCCTCGGAGCACCAGGGAAAGGTCAGGTATACAGCCATGGCAGGCCTGTAAGTTTCCCACGATGACATCCCTGGCCTTCTGTACCAGGCTCCTCCTGGGGAAGGCCTGAGACTGGCTTTGAAGTCGAGATCCTCCTGCCTCAGCCTTCGGAGTCACTGGGATTACAGGCATAAACTACTGTGCCCAGTGAATTTTTTTTTTTAAGAAGCAAAACTACTTGATGCCTAATGTAGACAATTGGATCTAACATTTAATATATCATGTGCAAAAGAAAAAAGCCTGTGGTCCAGATTCAGCCCCGATCTACCTCTCCTGCCTTGATCCTGCACATATACTGTTCCTTGTGTTCATCAGAGCAGGAATTTCTCAAGGACAGGCCTAGATGTGACTCTAGGTCCCAGCATGGCCTAAGGATATGGGCTGAATGAAAATGTCCCACACCCTGTTTGCCCTCCTCCAGGTCTTGTACATGCTGTTCCCATTGCCTTAAATGTTCTTTTTAGCCAACTAGCAGTTTCTACCAACTTTTATTAATACAGATCTATTAGCTCCTCTGTAAAGTCATTACTTCCTCCTTGGATTCCCCAGCCCCTGATCCTCTCTTCCAGATGCAATCTCTGGAGCTGGGATTGTGTGTGTTCGCCCCCAGACTGGGCATCTTGGTCTCACTGACTCTGGGGTTTAGCATCACCAGAGCTTAGAGTCAGGCACGTATTTGGCCATAGTGAGTATATGTGTTAGAAGGACTATTCCCCAAGTTCCTCCATTTTTCTAACCCCGCAGGCTCCAGGAAGGTGACTAATGACAGTACCTTCCCCTTCATCTTAGCCTAAGGACTCAGTGCTAAGGAAAGCTGCTCTGCTGGATCAGCCAGTCACTGAAAATCAAGAGGACCATGAAGAAGTTACTTTATTGAGGTGAATGAGTGCAGGTAACTGCCCCAATCCTGGCCTCAGCACTCTCAGTACAGTCTCATGGGTGGAAAGGACCAGGCTTCTGGACTGCTCTGAGCTACCACCCAGGAGAGGCTGGGCAGTGGGGCAAGGGGGCTGGGGCTCCAGTCCAGAGCAGAGGTTCTGGGCAACAAGGGTGATAGTGGCTGAGGCAGGGGCTGAGGTGGGCCGACAGCCCAGGGTCTGGGAAGGGATGGTGTGGCTACTAGCCAGATGCTTTTCAGTAGGTCAAAAGCTGTTGGAGGGCCCCAGGCTGCCCCGGATGGTGAAGGCAAGGAGGGCAAAGTGGGTGGCCAGGGACCTCCTGGTGGCACCAGGCTAACCCTGTGTGCAACGGGAGGGCTGGAGGTATGAGGCATGGAAAAGGTGAACTCCTTTGTTCCCCGAAGTCTCCTTTGCCTCTCTTCCCTTGGGGCTTGCTCAGGGCTGTTGATCCAGGAGGGTGTCATCCTTTGTTTCTCAGAGATTCCAGGCTTGGTCCCTTGTACAGAGGAAAAAAAGTATGGGAGAGAGCTGAGCTACAGCAGAGAAGGGAAAGGAAACACAGGAACAGGAAGTGGGCTCACCTGGCAAGGGTGGGTGGCAGCCTCGGAGCACCAGGGAAAGGTCAGGTACACAGCCATGGCAGGCCTGTAAGTTTCCCACGATGACATCCCTGGCCTCCTGTACCAGGTTCCTCCTGGGGAAGGCCTGTGGCAGAATCAGCTGGCACTGCAGCTCACCCAACAGTTTCCCCAAGCAAGGGAGCTCTGGGGAATGTGGGGGGCCTGGACCCAAGTCTCCAGGCACCTGATTCTCCTTGCCCTTTGACTGTTCTGGTTCTTGGACCCTGTCTGGGTTTGGGGAGGGTTTGGTTTGGAGAAAGAGAGTTCCTGATTCCAGGGACCCACTGCTAAGCAATCGGGCCACATCCAGAGATTTCACCTCATGGTTGAAGAGACCCCGGTGCTCCCGGCTCAGCCGGCCCTGAGTTATGACCACAAGCTTGGAGGCAGAAGGGGCCACAGGATCCCGGGGGGCCACAGGATCCCGGGGGGCCACAGGATTCCAGGGAGCCACAGGATCCTGACGGCTCCCCCGGCGGCTGCCCACAAGGGCATTTCTCTCCCTCCTGGTCTTCCGTCGGCGGACACGGCCAGGTTTCTCAGGTTGCTGGAAAGGCTGAGGTGCTGGCCGCAGGGACTCCATAATGTCCTGAAAGATGAAAATAGGCTAGTCATCAGATGCAGGTAAGTCAGGGTAGTAGTAAAGTGAGAAATGATAGTTGAGTGAGGAATACTATTTAAAGAAAAAAGCCAAAAAAAAAAAAAAAAGAAGAAGAAGAAAAAAAGAAAGAAGTGGACAGAGAACAGAGAGCAGCTGAAAAGGATTTGTCCAGAGAAGGAATCCTAAATGAGGTTGAGATAGTAGTAACATAAGAAGAGATGTCAAGGGATAGAGAAGAGACAACTGGGAACTGGAACATGGGGATATAGTTAAAAGATGAAACATGACAGACAAATGGATCATGAAATTGGAGAGATCTAGGGATCAGAATGGAATTTTGGACAGAGGAGAAATCCAGGAGTTGAGGGGTTACAAGAAGATGCAGAAAGTGAAATAAAAACCTTAGAGAAAGACAGGAGAAAGAACATCAAAAGAAGTTGGAGAGCCTGAAAGACCCTGGAGGACAGAAAGGAAGACAGAGAGCTATCAGGGACAGGGACTGGTTATGAGGGGAGGCCTGGGGCAAGGGGCAGACTAGCGCAGTTGAGGCAGAGCAGGGGGGCAGAATGAGGGGAGTGCGTAGAGGCAGAGTGGGGGAGGGGCACCGTACCCTCTTCTATACCAACGAACCTGCCCCCAACTCACTCCACGTGGCTGTGGAGAGCAATGGCTTCTTTCACACCCGAGCCTCGAAGCCGCCCGCGCTCTTCCGGGCCTCAGGCACATTATACGCATGCGTGTGTCCCTGCCACGCCCTTTGACTTTCAGGCGCCCTATAGAGGAGGGAGGCTCCCAAAGTGCCAGTTATAGCCCCGCCCTCCCAGCCTTACTTGGCCTCAGCATCTCCTGCCCACCAATTGGCTGTGAGATTACCCTAGGCCCGCCCCATTCCTGACTGCTGATTGGTCTAGACAGCTATTGGCGGACTGTCTAGAAGTCAAGATGAGCGGGCTGAGGAGAAGAGCTTTGTCTTCCCAGTTTCCTGACACAGACCTGATCCTTGGAGAATCATACTGTGGTGTTGTCATTCACAGTCTCTGAAGCTTAATGATCTAGGTTCAAACACCCAAACAAGTATATTTGACCTTGGAAATTTTTTAAATTGCTCAGAGCCTCCCTCAAATGGTTGCTAGAAGGTTGGAAAGAATCAATACATCTAACTTGAAACAGTGCCTACTGAATAAATGAATGAATGAATGCTTGGAAGCTTTGTTTCTCACTCAGCTTTGCTTCAGGAACTACCCCATCCCCCACCTCTCCAGGTTATCTGTCTGTACATGTTTCCTCAGACTTTAAAATCAAACAATGCCAAGATATTTCCCATGCATAAGTAATAGTATAACCAAATTTCTTTTCTTTCTGTTTGCCCAGTCTTCATTATATCTCAAATCCTGCTCAGATACTGCTTCTTTAAAAAAAAAAAAATGGCACTCAGAATGCTTCTTTTCCTCCTCCAGAAGTCCCCTGTACTTCCCTCAGTCTCAACTTTGACTTCTCATAGCTCCATGTTTGTTATCTGTCTCCCCAAAACACGGATAAGGCCAGGATCCGACACATTCATGCAAAATTCATTCAGCAAGTATTGTATTTGTTGAGCAGCCACTATGCCAGGCTTGGTTCCAGGAAAGTAGATTCAGCAGAACATAAACACAATAAATAGCACTCATCTCTGACTCCGTTATTAATCTATCCAGAAGCAATGAATAGTAGGTAAGGTCCAACTTGGAGGTGGGCCACAAGAAAATGATCAAAATGTGTAGGAGAGAGTGAGACCCCCCACCAGGTCCCTGAGAACAGGGAGATGTGAGAAGACATTAAAATCTGAGATTAATTTAGAGCAGGGAGGTGGAGGGGTGCAACCCTAGGTGGCCTTGGCTGTGGATCTGTTTCAGAGGACAGACACACCCAATTGAAGGTGTTGGTCGGCCTCTATGTTTACAAAAGGAGCAGAGGCGACAGATCTGCAAGTTGATCTGCAGAAGAAGTGCCAAGATGGACCTGAGCCCTGCAGACATCTCCAATTTCCTTTCTTTTTCTGCACCTTGTAGGTATTCTGGTGTTTTAAACTTACAGATACGTAGGTTAGATTTTATACCATAAAACAAAAACAAACACCCTGGTGTTTTGAGTGAAACCCACGAACAGAGAGATTCCCTAAAGCTCTGGTTCTGCCTTAGAGTGTCTCCAAAGAACTGTTCCTCTCATTTTCACGTTTTGCCATCTTTTCTGTCCCCTACAACAGTAGAAAATAGGAACGTCCCTCTTGCCAGGTGCATAGGAGCCGCCCCCTCAAGGGATCTAAGAATGAACTCGTCCATTCGCTTGCCTCTCCCCCCCACCCGCCGCCAACACGTGAATGAGGCACACCCCCCCACACCGTAGGTGGTCCTTTCATCACTTTTCTTTTCGTACTGCAAATGGTTTCTTCCACCAAGGAAAAGCGATAGGTTTTCCTTGCCCACTCTCGGCTTTTCAGGTAAATCGCCCCTCCCCGTGGCACCAGTGGGTGGTTTCTCCCACCTCCCCCGCCACAGGGATGGTCTCGCCTGTCCCTCCCCCCGTACCGGGGTGCGCTAGCCGCCGCCACCGCCAACTAGTGAGTGGCCCGGGCGGGAAGCGCCGGACGAGCCCACCGCGCGGCCGCCGTGGGGGAAGCGAAGGTTCCTAATTCCACCTCGCTCCAAAGTGAAGGTTTCCGCCCCTGGGGAAGAGGCGGCGCCCTAGATCGGCCTTCGTCCTCTGCCTGAGAGAGATCGTCGGGACAGTCCATTGTTGCCTGGAGGGGTAGGAGTGGGCGTGGCGGAGTCACCTCCTCCTGGGAGCACTCCCGGGCCCACCTCACTTGTTCCTCCGCAGGAGCTGCGACGCCAACATGAGCGGAGAGGAGAATCCAGCCAGCAGGCCCACACCGGTGCAAGACGTGCAGGGGGACGGGCGCTGGATGTCCCTGGTGAGCGATTCCGCCCATTGCGTTCGGGTCGGGTGGTTTCGGGGCTAAAGCAAAATGCTGATTCTTGCGGGTCTCAACACCTGCCACCTGAGAAGCTGAGAACTGTTGGGGTCGTGCTGCCTAAGGAAGTGGGGCGGGGCCTGGATCGCGCGTCCCTTTGACTCCTCCTGTTGTGTCCTCCAGCACCATCGGTTCGTGGCCGACAGCAAAGATAAGGAACCCGAAGTCGTCTTCATCGGGGACTCCTTGGTCCAGCTAATGCACCAATGTGAGGTGAGGGCTGTCCCCTTCCTCCTGCCCCATCCTGGCTTGTGCCCTAACTAAGCTCAGGATCCAGGCCAGCTAGATGTGGGGTGCTCAAAATGGCCTGAGGCCGCTGGTCATCAAGAATCTCCGTGTAAGTGCAACATAATGTGGAGGAGGAAATGAGTTTGTCAGATTGAGTCTCTGTATAAAAGACTTAGACGCTTTCCTACAAGATTGCCTAAGGTGAAGCTCTTCATTTGCTTCAAGTAGTTCACAGCCCTACTTTTAGGTTTACCCAAAGTAAAGATTAACTGTAATGGTGCTTCACAAAAAAGGCTCAATCATAAACTTTCCACTAAGCAAGGTTCAGCCATAATGGTATTCCTCAAAATAAGTTTCAAATATAATGTTGTTGGCTCCATGCAAGGCTCAAGCAGATGGATTTCCATAATGTAAGTCTTCTTCTGCGGGGTTTGGTTTAAAGTGAGACCATATTGTTTTTTATGAAGTGAGGTTAAGCCATACTGGGATTTGCTCAAGGTGACATTTAACCAGACCACTTCCATAAAGCAAGGCTTTTCTATAATGGTATTTGGTTAACACCTGGACAGAGGATGGTGACCCAGCCTGAGCCTAGGCCTATGCTCACACCATTTCTCATCCACAGATATGGAGGGAGCTCTTTTCTCCCCTGCATGCCCTCAATTTTGGCATTGGTGGTGACAGCACACAGCATGTACTGTGGCGGCTGAAGAATGGGGAACTGGAACACATCCGGCCCAAGGTGAGTGGGGCTTGGCTGGGGAGCTGAAGCACCCTTTGCTTGCCTCTTCACCACTGCTTCCCACCCCTCTTTCCACAGATCGTGGTGGTCTGGGTGGGCACCAACAACCACGGGCATACAGCAGAGCAGGTGACTGGTGGCATCAAGGCCATTGTGCAACTGGTGAACCAGAGGCAGCCCCAGGCCCGGGTCGTGGTGCTGGTGAGAGGCTGGGAGTGTGGGAAAAGAAGAATGGTGGTGGTCTGGGACATCCTAGATATAGACCAGCAGGCACAGTTCTGGGCAACTATGGCAAAGGACAGTGACTTTCAGGCAAAAGCACACATGGAAGATTGCTACTTTCATGATTGACTGTGATTGAGGATGTATTTAGGAACCATTAGCCCTTTTCATTCAAGAGACTGCTGGAGATACTGGGAGTGTTGAAAAACTAAAAACAAACAAACAAAAAAAAAAAACACACTTGCATAGCTAAAATTTGTCAGATATTCCTAGAGTGTAGGCTCCATCACTTCTAGTTAAGGTTTTCCTTTGAATGAGGGCATTTACCCCTTGCTATGTCAGCATTTAAAAAAAATTTTTTAGATGTTGATGGACCTTTATTTTATTCGTTTATTTATATGTGGTGCTGAGAACCGAACCCAGTGCCTCACATATGCTAGGCAAGTGCTCTACCACTGATCCACAATCCCAGCTCCTATGTCAGCATTTTTGAATTGGAAAGAGACTGACACCCAGAAGTTTCTTGCTGAATGGGAGCTAGGACATGGTTTCAGGAACCTCCCTTCTGTCCTCCCCACTTTCCTATACCTGGTGTATTTTGCAGCTGGGAATAAAATGGGAAGAAGCAGTTTAGTACAGAGCTTAATAGCCAAATGTTGATAGGACATCTTAAAATTTTTGGAATTCCTCCTCAGGGCCTGCTTCCAAGGGGTCAGCACCCCAACCCACTTCGGGAGAAGAACCGACAGGTGAATGAGCTGGTACGGGCAGCACTGGCTGGCCACCCACGTGCCCACTTTTTGGATGCAGATCCTGGGTTCGTGCACTCCGATGGCACCATCAGCCACCATGATATGTATGATTACCTGCATCTGAGTCGCCTGGGCTATACACCGGTCTGCCGGGCCTTGCATTCCCTGCTTCTGCGTCTGCTGGCCCAAGACCAGGGCCAGGGTGTCCCTCTGCCAGAACCCACATCCTAGACATCCTGCCTTCCCACATTAAATCCTTCTTTCTCAGTCTCCTGTTTCCTGCTTTTATGGCCAAGCTCTTAGGGTGCCACCACCAGATAATCCATGAGCCTGCAGTTCTCTGGGGTGCTTTTTTCTGCCTGAGGTATCACTAACATATCAAGGCACACTTGTTCTTGCAATTAGTTTAATTTTCACTATCACAGTTGTGTGCTTCAGGCAGGTGGTCAATTAGTAAACACTGAGTGAAACTAGCTTGTCAGCATTACCTTGTTAGGATCAAGGTCAAGCAGGAATTCTTGGAACTGAGCAATCCAACAGTCAAAGCCCATCCCTCATCTTTGCAAATGCCATTCCCTTAGCTGGAACTTCCTGTTGCCCACTCTTAAGTAGATACCTACCACTTCCTGTGTAGGTTCCCTGACCCTTTGGTAGTCCCTCCTGAGTAAGTCCCTCCACACAGTGCAGGTATGGGTGGGTGTCTCAGGTTGGTACTTAGTATAGTCCACAGGCTTGAGCCAAAATGATCAAACCCAAAGAGGCTCATATGTGGCTGCAGTGCTAGCTCAGGCCACATGGGGGTAGCAGAGGTCACTCTGAGGACAGCCCTGTATGATGGACAGATTGGCCTCAAGTGCTACTTGTGAGCTAGGATCTCTTGGGGCCTTTTTCTTGAGTAAGATTCCTGGACTGGTAAGTGTGAACTGCTTTTCTTGCAGCCCTTCATCTCAGGCCTTCCCCAAGCTTCCTCACTGGGTGGCTGAGAAGGGTAATGAGGTTCCCTGAGGAAACAATGGCCCTGACTGCAGAGGCTGCCTTATCTAGAGGTAGGGACCTCTGTCCATGGTGTCCCTCTGATGTTGGGGTGGTCTAGGAGTTGCTCCTTCACTTTGTAGGAAAGCGCACTGCTCCACAACCATCTGGGAACCAGCCTGGAACGCACAACACTCCTTCCCCTTCCAAGCAAGCAGCCACACACATGTGTTAAACAGCTTTAATCTCAGTCATTGCGGCTTCTCGGCACAGTAAGAAATATTGCACATGATCAACATGTTTTGTTCTGGGGATGGGGGCATCGTAGGGGAAAATCACCTTCTTAGAAAGTACAACCCAAGTTGGGAGGGCAGAGGGGGTGGGGAGAGAACCCTCCCCGTGCCTGTGGCAAAGTGCAGGAGCCCCCAACCCCCAAAACTAACCTGAGTCCAGCCCCTCTGGGGAAAAAAGGGGTGCATGAACTCCCCCCTACTCCACAGGCACCTCCCTGTGGCCCAAGGCCCACATTACCCTCCAGCTTGCAGCCCTCACATGAGCCATTTTGCATAAAGTACAAGTGAAAAGCTCTGAAGGTCACACGCTCCAGGTTATATACAGGGGCTCAGTGGCAGGAGACTGCCCTGGCTTCCCTCAGCTGCCCCCCAGCACAGGGAGGGAGCTGGGGAGGAGGAAGTACATACAATGGGAGCAGGCCTCATTCCGCCCCAAACTGGAAAGGACGAAATGGCTTTACTGGGAAGGAGGTAACCATCCTACTGCACCCCCATTCCTGCCACCTACACTCTGTGTCCTGAGGGGGTACTGTGGGCCCTGGGATCTACTGGAGAACCCTTCACCTGCCTGTAGCAGCTGTGGAGGGGCCTGAGGGTGGGGGAGAGGGCTGGGGGGCCCCCTCCCAACCAGGCTGTCCAGGTCCTGGCTCTGGGGGTGGAGGCAGTGGTGGGGCAGCCTGGGCTGTGCCAGAGTCCGAGCCAGGTGAGGTGGGGTCAGGGCCCCCAGCAGGGCTGGGAGTGGGAGCAGGGGTAGCAGCGGTGCCAGTGGGGGAAGGTCCAGGGAGGGAGGCTTCAGCTCCAGGAGGCTGCTCTGTGGGAGTGGCTGCCTGCATAATCTTCTGGCGCACCTCACGGATCTTCAACTGCAGACAAACCTTGGATGGGAAGATGTCCGCGTAGCGGGCCTGGAAAGCTGCTGTGGCCTGAGCTGGGGACAGAAAGCAGAGAGGGCAGGATGAGGTATACAGACAGACAGGATCTGTCCAAGTAACCCCCAAGACTTCAAGACATACCTGATGGGAAGAAGCCATGGTCCTGAAAGAGCTGCATAACCAGGGCCCGGCGCTGGTCCAGGGTGCGTCGCAGTGATGAGTATGGCACCTTCTCATATTCCAGCTCCCCAAGTACATCCTCAGCTTCTGTACCTGTGAGGGCACAAGGAGCATGGTTAGGGCCACAGCAGCAGCCAAGTCTCCCGACCACTATCCAAGTGTCCACCAATGCTCCTTGAATTCTATTTCACAGGGGAGTCAGAGTAGGACCCACCCAAAGTCGCATGGTGATTAGGGACCTGGTCTCCAGAACTTACTCTTGATTTGTTGTCCTTCCTCTCAGCAATACCCACTCCACTGTTCCTCTACTGCCCCCCCAACACCACTCTTACAGATCCTAGGGTCCCCACAGTGCCTGCACCTGTGCGGTCAAAGGTGAAGATATCCCCCTCGCACTTGGCACTCTTGGGGGTGTTGGGCTCTGAGCTGCAGCTGGATCGTCTCCTCATCTTGCGCTTGGGTGAGGTGGGGTCTTCAGGTGCTGAGTCCAGGTCTGTCCAAACATAAGCAAGCTCAGTAAAATTGGTCCAGGTCTGTTCTGCTACCTACCTAGGAACCAGCGCTTGCCTACCAGTCGAGTTCTTTCTCTTTTTGCGGTAAGAGCCCAGGATGGCTCGGGGTGAGGTGGCCAGAGACTGCAAGGTGGGTGAGGGAAGCACCTCCTCTGGCCGAAATTCAGGCAGCTCAGCAAAGCGCTCTTCAAAGTCCACCTCTGACAGGACCCTGCTGGAAGGCAGGCAGGATCACTTCCCCTGCCTTGGCCTGTGGTGCCCTCTTTCCCACCAACCCCACACACTCCTCCAAGGACCCCAGCCCCTGCTCACTTGTCCACAGAGTCAAAGGTCTTCTTCAGGGGCGGGGGCCGCACCTTCACCTTCTTGCCGGTACTAGCCGTCTCCTTGCGCTCTGGTGTGTCCCCGGCCGCCCTCCCACTGCTGCCCTCACTGCTGCCACTGCTGCTGCCACCAGAGGCTGAGGCTGGAGCTGGGGCCGGGCTGGGAGGAGTGGGGGGTTCCCCACGACTCTCCAGGCCCAGCCCAGGGACGCGCCAGTCTGAAGACGAGCTGGGGAATTTGCTGGCCTGGGATGCAGACAGACAGGGAGAACAACACTGGGATCAGATGCATGGGGGCAATGGCCAGAAACAGATAAATGCTGAGACACCCCAACACCTGGGAGAAAACCCAGTCCCATGGCCTCAGGAAGGCCAGGACATAGGCCCCAGGTGAGAAGGCATACAATAAAAAAATACAAAGCACAAACAGGCATGAAGAGATGAGGAGCAGGACAAAAAACAAAAATGAGCAGAGTGCAGTGAAAAGCACCAGGGGAAACCCGCCTGTGGGCTGCTGGATGCTCACCATGGTCTCAGGGCCCTTGGTGCCAGTCCGCTCTTCAGCAGGCAGGGGTGGGGGGGGGCTGCTCCGGGCCGTGGAAGGCCAGGTCTCTGGGAGTGGTGGAGGGGCTGGTTGTGTAGGCTGCCCCTCAAGCTCAGACTCTGGAGCAGGTGGTTCTCTGGCTGGGCCAGGCTCCAGGGGCTGCCGGGGTGCAGGGCCAGGCCGCCCAGAGGCACCTGCCTCAAAGGAGCCCACGGGAATGCTGGCGATGGCTGCCTTCACTTTCTGGGGGGCCTTTGGGCTGGGCCGCTGGGCCTTGGGGGCCACTAAGCTGTAGGTCATGGAGCCTGTTGGTGGGTACAAATGTGTTTGCTATGCCAGGCCTAACTGGGGGCCCATCCCCTGGGTTTCCCAATATACCATGCCCTGAGTTGGTCTGACACCCACCTGTGGCACTAGGAAAAGGGCTACTGGGGGCTGGGGTGGCAGTGGCAGGAGCCGGTGGGCCCTTGGGCAGAATGGTGGCAGCAGGTGGGGTGGTGCTAGTGGCCACAGTGTAGACCAGGCTGGGGGGTGCCTGGGATGCCTGGGCCAGGGGTGCTGAGGAGGTGGGTACAGGGCTGCCAGGATAAAATGCTGTTATGACAGGACCTCCAGGGGCTGCACAGGCAGGAGGCAGCTGAGGGCTGGGCACAGGTGACACGCCCACTTGGCCGGGAGCCAGCAATGGGGCTTGGCCTGCTGAGAGAGAGCAAGCGAAAGGTGGGGGACCAAGTCAGGGCCCAGGCTGTCTCAGCCCCACCCTGGGTCCCCAGCACTGCCTGCCAGGCCACCCCTCACCTGAGAGCAGGGGCTGCACGAAGGCAGGGCCGCTGGGCCCCAGTGAGGTGAAACCTAGAGCTACAGAACTTGTAGGCCCATATGAGGTGACTGCTCCAGCCTGGCTGGATGTAGGGCTGGTGCCCAAGGGCAGCGTGTGCCCACCTGCCGACTGCACATAGGTGATTCTGCCATAGGGAGAGGAAAAAGGAAGAGTGAGGTGAGCCATCCCTATCCCACCCCTCCCCTGGTCTCTGGGGAAGGGCTCAACTGTACTCACCTGGTAGAGGAGGGCAACAAGACTTTCTGAGGCTGTGAGGTGGGTCCGGGGAGTGTGGCTGGGCTCAAGGGCGGCACCAGGCCGCTGGGTGTGCTCACAGGCACGGGAGTCAGCTGGATAATCTGTGGGTAGAAGCACCCACAGGCTGAGGTGAGCTAGGACCAAAAGGGGGAAGGAGAGAAATGACACCTAGGTGGGAGCTAAGCAAAAGTGGGAACCTCAGAATTTGGGATTAAGACAGGATAGGAAAGCTGACAAAGAGGTGGAGGACACACAAAAAGAATAGGTGAAGATACTGAGAAAAACAGCTGGACACAGACAGGAAGTAAAGATGGCAAGGTGGAACCCCAGGAAGAAAGAATCAGGAGAAAGCAGAAACAATGGTCTATAGGGACTGACATGCAGCAGAAAGAGGAGGGAAACGTGGAGCCATAGCGAACATGCCCTTACCTTGCTAGGTGGCTGGGCACCATTCTGCACAGGTACTGAGAAAGGTGGACTCACCAAGGGCAGCGGC